GTATATTCTCTAATTAAGATTGCTAACTTGGTTTTAGGCTGACATTGACCACACAAACTCAGGAAAGGAGCAGATGCCTTTAATGAGAACAGGGGGGAAGGGAAAAAGGTTGACTTTAACTTGGAGAGAAGAGATTGCATGGCTGGATTAGGAGACAATTGGCACCACTGGCACATGGACTTCTCTTGGTTTTACCAACAAGATTTAACAGTAGCCTTCTTGTAAATGCTATCTGATGTCTCACATTCACTACACTGAAAGGTTCCAAAGTTCAAATTTCAGCTGGAYCTTCTGAAAACACTGCAAAGTTGCTGTAGTTGACATGAGTGCAGGAGSAGAAAACTGCAAGGAATCCATCTCCACAGTGAGGCTTCTTTTYGCAAGAAATGTAATTTGCCCCTAAAGCAGAAGCCAGATATGTAGCTAAAATTTAACTGCCATCATTTCAGAGTRAGGAATTGTAGCCTCTAACACAATTGTTTTTGTGTAAGTCCAACATGTRTATTTGTACGAATTTATGCGTTGCAACAAAATGTATTTGCAACTTCTGAATGGCCCCCACAAATGTACATGTGCAAACTTGCTAGCAAATAACAAAATCTGAATATAAATTAATAGCAGTAGATACTACAGATCCAGCTGTCAACTTGCCTCAAGAGCAAGCTACATTTTGCAGAAGCAGAATGATTATTTTCTTTTCTCTCTGGAAATTTGTTCCTTGCACAGTAACCTCTTCTTCCTGTGTGAATAAATTAAAAAAGGGACTGTGCTATTTCTGCATCTGCTTGATGTGCAAAGTTTTAAGAAATTTGCCCGATGCTTTAGCATAAAGTTAATATTTTGAATTTGGGCATAACTGCAGACACATTAACTGGAACAAAATGTTAGGCAACACAGCAACTGTGATGTGGGGGAACTGCTACCTTATTTGATAAAGCACAAGCAGTACAACTTAAGTATCCAAATGCTTCAGGCAATTTGTATTGCTCCTTTTGTTGCATCCTGGGTCTAACTGTAATATAAGTAAATCCCTTTGCAATAAAAAGTGTAACTGATCATAATATAAAATACAAAATGTGTTTGGAATAAAATTTGCTTGAAAAGCCCAAGTGTGACTGTAGGGAAAACTGGAAACTTTATCACTACTCAGAGGAGTTACCTTCCTGCTCAAGTGTAGCAAGTTCCATATAYGCAGGGTGCCTTACCCAAACCCTGGCAAAGGTGGTCCTTTGATTCCAGTCGAGAGGCTTTACGTGGTAAAACAGTTGCTATGACGTTTAAAATATGTGGTATTTCAGACATCATTTGGTGTCTTTAATCTGGATTTAGAGTTAGAATAAATAAGCCTTTGTGGGGCCAGGGTGGTTGTGGTGATTGCTTCAGATCCCCACAGGGTGTCTACAACCCTCTACAGGCTGGCCAGCCTCCTGCCTCATCTCAGGTCTCCTGCTCTGCTTTGGGGCATTTGAAGTGAAGAGAAGTAATTCACTGAGCAGACAGTGAATGAAGTCATGGCTCTCAAATCCCTATCCTGATTATTCAGTCATAACTCATATTAGAAATCTGTGGAAAAATATTAYTTAAGGACTGGACTGAAAAGTTATAGATTTCCTTCTTTTCAATAACTACATTGATAGGAACCCCATACTTTAGCTATGAGAAGCAACAAGAGGTTTCAGTGTTATAATTAGCAATTACTTGAGAAACTATGAAAGATGAAGGGTGTCTCTCCATGAGGAGAGGTACGACAGGTGGTATGGAAATACATCACTTTTTCTTCTACTGCCACTTACTTGTAATATATCATTCCCTTTCCAAGAACCAACAAATCCATATGTTTCACTACAGGCATTTAGGAACTTACATCATTCAGTGAATGAGAAAACATTATAAACTGTTTTCTGGCATTGTCTTGAGTTGTCCCTGTGAGATATCAACTTTTCTGTTCATAAAGGCACAAGCAGGGGGCTAGTTTGACATGCTAGCACTGATGGCACAGCTGCTGAGCAAAACCATGTCTTCAAAGAACTCTGCTCTCTAAATCCAACTTCACCCATCTCTGAAAGTGTGGGAGTGGTGGCACAAGATTAGAGCTAATCCATCCCAAAGAGATGGCTTGTTTTCACCTTGGTTCACACTTGTTGCTGGTCATTTTATCCTAAGTTCAACACCAGCAGGCTGGTACTGCTTTTCCAGCTCTGCTTTCTGGCTGCAAATGGTATAAACAATAGAAGTGCTTCTTATCAGCTGCTGCTGGACTACACCTAAGAGCAAGGGAAACGCCAAGAGTCAAAACATTTGAGTATTATGTTTTCTTCTCCTATTCAAAAATTACACTCAAAAATAATCTTAAATTCAAATGTCTTATGGATGAACTTACAGGAAAGAAAAGGGATCACAGGACAAGAAGAAATTATAGACTTGAAATCAGTAGTCTCACCTCTTATTTCAGTAGCTGCTGTACCATTTGACCATGCTGTCCATTTATTTCTGTGTTTCCCAATTTCCTGGACTTTGCATATATAATGTCCTTGATCTGTTTGTTGGAGGCTTAAAATAAGAAATTTGTACATAGTTCCATGTTTCTCTTTAAGGAGATGAAGTCTTTGCTTGTGAAAATTATGAGTATAATTTCCATAATACTGCACAGACCCAAACTTTGTCATTTTGATCATGAGATGCTCCTGGGTAGGTGATGCAGCGAAGACCCACCGCACAGCCAGTAAATTGTCTGTCTTTCTCTTTTGAGAAATGTGGCAATAAAGGGTGGCATTGTCCCCCTCAGAATATTGCACTGTTGGTCCAGGAGAGACTGTCACATTTAGAGCCACACAAACATCTGTAAAGGAAAGGAAATATGGTGAGAATCCTCCATATTTGCACAACAGAACCATAATCTGTGCCAGGGTGTGAACCCACAGCAGGTAAACTGATGGCATCTCTCTACGGTGCAGCAATTTCATGGCCTTGTGGAACCTGACAGCATCAGCCTCTCTGGGAATGTTCAAGATGACATGAGGCCCTCCTTCACTGAATCGGCTCTTGTATTTTTGCTGTCACTAATTAAYAACATAAGGCTGACATGGAGACCTTGTTACCGTCACAGGACAAGTTTTTTTTCACAGTTTGAAAAAAGAGTCCACAGCTGTTCATTAGAGAAAGAGTTCCCTTTCCTGCTTTAACTGATTTATACTGGACTGATTTTCTGAGGCATGAGAATCAACACTTATTTTATTTCCTTTCTAATGCACATTAAGAATGTCCTGATTAGTCATATCAGAGAGTGATCTATTTTTGATCAACGGTGTACTGTGGCAATTGTTCCTTCAATGACTTGTGATGAGTAATGTACTGGTCTGAGGGCACCCACCAGAGAGAGAACCAAATCCAAATTCCAGCAGTGAGCAAGAACTGCCTGCAATGCACTCTGCAAAGCATGAAATGTCCTCTACACTGTGAATTTCCTGTTATGTGATTACTGTACTGTACTCAAATACTAATGAGAATTGCAACTCTGGGAGAATGATGTTTTCATTTCTGGACACTTTTCTAGCACATCAGCAAGGAACATTTTAACAAAGGGGATGAGCATTTTGGCAGAGGCTCTTGTCTGACATCAGCTCCTGAAACACAAACATATATTTATCTTCAAAATAAGCAAGTAAAGTATTTCCATTCTATTTCTGAAGGAGTATTGGAGGCAGAGACAGTGATTTTATGGCTCCAGTGAAGCTGTGAAATGAGGYGGTGAATTTTATCACCTTACTTACAGTTAATCCACTAAATCAAAGAAGTTGCATTGCAACGGTTTGAGAAGAATGCTGAAAATTAATAGGTGTGGTAATTATTTTGTGTCATTTCAATTGAAATCTCCACTGAATGGCATGTCTTTTCCAAGTAGACATTATTTTTTGTTATGGAGTAGAAAATAGTTTGTATAAAGAAGAATTTGGGTTTAAAAAATAAAAATTCTTGAGGAAACTACAACAAAGCATGGATGAGATTTTTGATACAATTATCTGTGCTTGATGTTTGTGTCTGCAATTCATACAAATGCCAAWGAAAAAGGTTATTTTGCATTGTAGGAAGCACCCAAGTAAAACAGGATGTCGAAATTTAAGGCTGAATTCCACCAAAAGCTTTCAGGCATGAAACTTCAGTTATTACTCTCTGGACTAACTGGCCTTGGTGCTTTACTGGCAGAAGGTAAGCCAGTAAGTGGCTGCCTCTGTCATCAAAATAAGATTATAATTTGAAGGCTGTGCTGCTTAGTAAATAGGAAATAAGTTTAAGATTTTCGACACTTTTTGGGGTCCTCAATGGTACTTAGGCAATAAATGTTTAATAAATCATTTATAAAATTATGGTTCAGATAAATGAATAACACGGATTTTTTTCTACTGAAATTATGAACATGTYGTGAAAACTGTAATGAAAAACAATTATGTAATTTTCCTGACATGTGAATTTCTTTTTTGAAAAAGCTGGCTAGGAGTAATTGTGAAATAGAGTCACAAATTAAAAGGCAAAAAGCTCATTGCTTAATTCCAAACTCGGCAGAACACAGTGCCAAGAAGCACCCAAGAGAAAATAGAGAGGAAGTCAGATATGGTGATGATGGAAGCCTCTGTGAGAAGATAAAGCAGCATTGTACATGGAGACTCTGATCCCTTTCTAGCTGTTTATACTTATACAAACATTGGTATTTTATACCTAAGGCTTCTACTTTTCCTCTGGGCACATGGCTTTTTATAAGGACGTATCAAATTTTCCATCCTTCATGCTCTCTGGTCAGAGGGAACCTATCCCCTTATCTTCCTTCTGTGGGTCCTATTGGTGCAGCTGCACAAGTACAGCAGTGGGGAGAGTTTTGGAAAGCTCATGGTGCTTTTACCATGGCATCAGCTCATGGTGAACTGATCAGGATATGGTTYATATAAAGCAGAAAAACAATATCCATTTGACTTTATCCTCCTACTGCTGTTAGAGGAGGAACAGTGGATTTTGAAGGAAAGAGTTCATTTACTTCCCATGTAGAAAGGAAAAGCCTCATTCAAGGCTCTCAGACACTAGTGGACATGTTCCTCCTGTCTTTAGCAGGCACTGGTCAGCCCCAACATGAGGTTTACTCTTGTAATGGGCTCCTTGCCAAGAACAGGAGACTTCACAACTTGACAGCAGGCTTGTGTGCCAACAYAGCACTGAATTTCTAGACTTCAGATTGCTGTTTCAAGTGAGGAACCACTGTTTTTCTCCTGCATTCCCAATATAGCATGATGTAGCCGTTCAGGTGGAGCTCACCACAAGAGTTTTAGTCTCATTTCTGCTTGGAAAGGGAAATTATTTATAGAAAGGGGGAGGAGAGAGAGTCAAAGACTTGGTGATTCCTTTGCAGTGTGCTTAACCATCAAACTTCTCTCCTTTTTGCATTCAGCTTACTTAGTTGCTCCCGTCCCACCATTTTAGCTTCTTCTCTGGTGCCCTTCACCTGCATGTGGGGAGTCAGGAAAGATGACTGCTGACTAAGCTCTGTTGTAAAAAATCCTGCTTTGAAAATAGTCCACTTCTGCTTACGCACGTTCAAGAATTAGCTGGGTTTGGATGTTGCTGTCTGCCATGTTACATAGCAGAACACCCACAGYACTGTCAGGAGTAACAAACTATACTTCCAGCACCCAGAAACTTGTTTATGCCAGGGCCTCTCCACTCTGCACATGCTGGCGAAGKACTTTCAGTGACCACTCGGCCCTTACATGTGGCGAGCATGGCAGTGGTTTTGTGGGAGAACCTCAGTTACTCAGTTGAGACAGGAATGGAGTTGTTCCTGTGCAGAACACAGTCCAGGTTCAGTGCTGTGTGCAGGCCACTCTTCCTTCCTCCACRGAGACTGAGGGGCAGAAACTACAGCCCAGCCTTCGGTGCTGAAAGGACTGATAGCTGGGGGACTGGGATATCTGGGGAACTAGAGGGGCATGTGACTAGGGTGGTCACCTTCTGGTCTCAGCTTTCCATGACCAGAAGCATATAGGATGGATTTTATCTATATTGTAGTTCATTCGGTGAAGCTATGCTGCTTTCAAAGCCTGCTTTAGTTTGATTTCTTGCAGTTAAAAAGAGCAGATGAGCAGGAAAGAAGCAAAGGTCTYCGTTTAAATGAAAACAGGAGCTGGCTAGCAAGAGCACTGAAAAACAACTGTTTTGAGTTGAACAGATCTGTCCGCAAGTTTCACAAGTCAGAGGCTCCCCCTCAGAGAAAGCTTCTGCATTGACTAGAGATGGACTTGAACCAAACCTCTGCCTCCACCATCTACTTCCTTCTGCAGGGGAGTTCAAATTCAACTCTTTCACTAGCCTCGAAYGAGCAGGGCTTCCACACCCCTCTAAGCTCACTGCACCTGAAGTTCATATCCAGACTCTGTGTCTGTTTTGGAGCTTCAGGACACACAACACTTCCCAACATACCTTCGGTTTTGGAGGCATAAAGGTCTTAAAGGGAGGAAGCTTTTTACAAGTGACCTACAAGTGCCAACGGGATCAGGGCACCTGCGGAAAAAACAAATCTCCAAGTCTCCCTATGCTTCGGCTTCGCCTGGCATAGGAGACGGCCGAGCACCCATTTCCATGAACTTGCACGGAASGGGCTTTCTTTTCTACAAAGGGTCCGATGGCCGTGCAGAAGCGCTGCTGCCGGGAGTGCGGGGAAGCGGCTGCGGAGCGGGGTAGGGAGCGGGCGGGCCGGGGAGGGCGGAGGGGCTCCCGGGGGGCGACCCCAGCTCTGGCTCGGTGCCCGCCCCGCCGCCCGAGCCCCGGCACTGTCCCAGCTCTGGCACTGCCCGAGCCCCGGCGCTGAGGGGACACCGGCACTGCCCGAGCCCCAGCACTGTCCCAGCTCCGGCACTGCCCCGGTTCCGGCACTGTCCCGTACCCGGCACTGTCCCGCTCCCGGCGCTGAGGGGACACCGGCACTGCCCCGGCCCCGGCGCTGAGGGGACACCGGGTCCGCTCCCGGCGCTGAGGGGACACCGGGCCCGCTCTCGGCGCGCAGGGCGGGGGTTGCCCGAGGCGGGGCCGGGGTCCCGCCGGACCGAGGGGAGGGGTCCGGCCCCGCTGGGCTCTGACCCCGCCGTGCCGCTTACCTGGGCCCGAGGCCGTGGCCAGCAGGGCGGCCAGCGCCGTAGCCAGGAGGCGCATGGCCCGCGGGGCGCCGGGTCCGCTCCCGTCCCGTCCCCTCTGCCGAGCTGCCTCCCTCCTCTCCTCYCCGGCCTCTCGCCTCCTCCCCGCCCGGTCTTCCCTTCTCCGCTTGCTTTTCATCTCCTCCCCTTTCTCCTCCTTTTTTTTTTTTTTTCCGCTTTCTTCCTTCCCCCCCTACTCCTTTGCGCTTCGCAGCGTCCTGCCCCGCTTCAGCTCTGCTTTTTCTCGCCCCCTTTCCTGTCGTTTCTGTCCATCCCATGGCTGTAGGGCGGCACTAGGGCTGGACAGGGATGCTCCGTCTCTAGCCTCCACGATCCTCCCTGTACACACGCACACACCGTGCCCAAAGGACACAGGTCTGTGTCRATGGGAATTGGGAAACTCCTTCACTCCTGAATGCAGAAAACCTCTATAGGAGCAGGTGAGGCAGGCTGGCAGCTGGTGGCTGTGGGGTAGAGTGCTGGGATGGGGAAGGCTGTATTGGGCATACTCTCAGCTTTCCTGGAGGAGTTGGAAATTYCATAGGCCTTCATACCCATTCCACTCATCCCACTCCTTACCTGGAGCAGGACCATTCTCTGGGAAGTTCCATTTAACACTGTCTCCCAGTCCATGGGCTCAGGTGGTGGCAGCCTGGGGACAAGGAGCTCTGGCAGGCAGGAGTAGCCCATCAGCAGGCACAGGGWTGAATGCTGTAGGGCATTTAGGATACCTGTGCCAGGACACTGCACATGGTGCTCTGCTGTTTGTGCTCTGCAGTGGCAGCACCTGCTGACCACTGATACTCAACCTCTCTAAAAATGTCCTGAATGAATTGATGCTTAAGGTGGCTGAAGGCGCATTATCCCAAGGTTATTGTCCTTGCCTTCACAATTGGTACTATAGTGCCAGGCCAGAGAGGACAGGGGAACTTGGCACCTTGCAGTCCTTTCTGGCCTTTCCCCTGTGCTCCTTTTGAAGTGTTTATCACTTGAAAGCCCACAAATCTCCACAGACAAGGATTTAATACTTCTACCAGCAGRTATGATGGGTTATGCCTGATTATATATTCAGGTTGCATGAAGTGTGGATGATACAAACACTTTGGCATTCCTRCTTCCTTGGATAGGGCAATTAGTACAGATTTAGCTACTCCACCCCTCTCCTAGTAATCACTTAGGCAGGATAATACTTGTCTACTTTTAAGCATCGCAGATAATTTAGCGTGTGCTAAATCTGATCTTATGAGACTGAAAACTGCCTTTAAAATCTTGCARTTTGTTTCCTCCAGGGACAGACTTTTGTGTTCATGCAACAAACACTTCTCACGAAAGAGTGGCAGGTCAGGATTATGCACAGAGCAGACTTGAGGAAGCAGAAGTAGTTGTTAAAATTTAAACTGCCTGGGGARGCAATTAAAATTGTAGATTGGAGTCTACTCCTTTGACACAGAAAAGGGAAATCCTATCAGAGATAAGCTAATTCAAAACAAACAGATAAATTCCCMAAAAACATTCTACCAGCAATTATTTAGTTTGATGGTCCTGATGGGAACTCCCTTTCAGGAAGTCCTTGGACTGCTAATAGAGAGGAAACCAGGGACGATGATTTTGCATACTCTTCCAAAGCATCTGCTCCTTGCCACTGCATRAGAGAAGATATTAGGCTGAATGGACATCATAAGTCCATATAATTCTGCTAGGCTCCATCATGCTTCACTCCATGTGTCTCATAAATTCCTTCAGCCTACTAATCTTTTAATGGTGTGTACAAAACAGTGGTGTAAAGACATCAGTAAGGAAGGACTGCCTAAGGTCTCACGTGAGTGCTTGGGCCCTGCAGAACTGAAAGATGCACTGCAAGAATCAGTATCAGTGTTTGTTGTTTGCCAACAATCCCCATAACTGTTTGCACTAACRGTTCCTGTAATTGCATCAAGGACCCTAACGAGCTTTGGGACAGAGCTGGATCATTTAACTGGGGAGAAGGCTTCATGTGATGTATTTGCCTATGAYAGAAGATAGGCAGAAGAAGAGTCAAAGGGACATCTGGACTTCTGAAATCTCTCTGACAGTGTGTCTGACACTTTACTGAAAACATATGCTTTCTGTTTTGAGCTTGTGATCTCTGTACCTTTGACAGTTCCCTCTGTGTTRTGGGTTCTGTCTTTTGTGTAGAATCACTTTCATTGCTCCCTYGCTGAAAGTTCTTCAACAGCATAAGAACATAAAAAGTTATTTTTATTCTTAAATGGATATTTGTTCTAAAGTTCCAAATGTACTTTTAAAAGTGGTCTAAGCTGAAAGTCTTTTTTACTTGTTATTGCAATAAGGAGCTTAGGCAATGCTGCCCTCTTAGGTTTTTCACCAAGGGAGAGCTTTTCTTTGCACAGCTAGAACAGRACCTGTAAGATTTATGTACACATTTCTCTCTTGCTGCTAAAATGTACMACCAGCAGCCCTCATCAGGTGACCCAGCACCTAATACTCTTTAAAAAAAATCCACATTTACTGTGAATAAATCCACAYTGTGCCAATCTCTTAGGATACACTCATGGGCCAGACAGCACTGGTCAGGCTAGGGAGCCGTGGACAAATATAAACTTCCGACCTCCCATCTTCCCAGATCTGACGCTGACTTGTTGGATGATTTTTACAAATGGGTTCTCAGCTCTGGGCTGCAGACAGATGAACTGCAGCCTCCCTTTGTGCCTGGATTGGAAGGCTTTGCTGGAGCAACCAGCATGAAAAGTGGCAATTGCACGATTTGCGTGTCTTCACTGTTAAAAATCTTTCATCTMTTCTCCCATTTGTTGCAGCTGAGATGTTTCTGCTTTTGTAAAATGTTTATTCAAGATTTTTGATGCCTCYWACCTGGCACCATCACAGTTTACCTRTGCACCAAAAATCCCAAAGGCCAAGTGAAGATGCAGTACAATTCCTTTTGTTCCCCCCAACTCTCTCTGTTAGACAGTGCACCTCCCTTTGCTGCTTTGGAAGTGTGCTGACGCACACGAGTGGAGCCTCTGACCCGCAGGATATGGCTTTCTCGGCTCTGGCAGCATGTATGTGGCCTCGTTTCCTGCTGAATGGATCTGCTCTGAGGAGAAAAGTGCCTAATCAGCACTCCAGTGCAGCTGACACAGCTCAGACTGACTGTTTGCAGAGCCTGGAGCCCCTTTCTCCCCGGGGCAGTGTTATTGAAATCATCAGCCTGAGTCGCTCGGGTGAGACCTGCTGTGCAAATCCCCTTTGYCTCCCTGCAAAGTCACATCTGTCAGGAGAGGTAACCACATCCTCTTGGCTTTTGCTATCCTGTCCTCCCTCTCTGGCTGTTCTTAACCTGCCTTCTTTCTCTGAAAGAATCTTACTTGCTTCCCCAAATGTGTCTCCAGAGTCTGTGCAGGATTCCTGTGATGGTGCAGTCCTTAACAGGACTGTGGCTTTCCCTTACAGCGGTGTGGCAGAGGGACACGATGGCATCCACAGCAACTCCCACTGCGCTGCTTTGGCTGGGCTCTGGCGTGGGTAAAATTTCTTCCCAAGGCTGCAGCTCTCAGCATGGATTGATGGGCTGGGGTGGGCTGYTTGCTTTCACACCTGATGTGCTGCTGAGGAGAGTTGTGCTTGTTCTGAGTGATGCATGGGGGTTTGCTGCCCACSTGCAGCAATAAACTGTCTCTCTGGACTTTTCATCTTTGAGCTGGACATCGTCTTTCAGGGCAATTACAGCTTATCACCCTTCCACACATGCAAAGATGCTGCCTGCCTGCTTGTCTGCCTGGAGCATACCGTTGGAGAWGAGTTATGGCCAGGTCTTTTTCAGAATCCAGTGCCTGGCAGCTCCCATGGCCCAAGGAATCCTAATTAAAAATTAATGTTCAGTGATTAGAAATAGGTAAAATCCAAACTGATGCAATGTTTCCAAGTGTGGAGGGTGGTTGGATCTGTATCCAAACCTTCCTATTCCTTTAATAGGCCAAGTTACCTTTGAACTGTAGCAATCCAGAACAACATGGTTCTGCCCTTAATATTTTTCTATGGCTATTTTGTGGACCAACATGTGGAAAATACTGCTTTTATGAATCCAGCTCCTTGTCAATAGAAAGAACACTATGTAAGAGCTTCCAAATTGTAAGCATCATGCTTTTTAGGTCTCTGAATATCATGCAATGTTTACACAGTGCTTGGGGCTTTGATGGTATTTTACTTATTGCCATTTATTTCTGACTGATTGGCAAATTGCTAGATAGATAGGGTGATGTTAACTGCAGATGATGTTAGCTTMAGATTTCCTTTCCCCCAGTGTAAGGTGTCCTTCTCCCATTCCCTTTTCCTTTTTTTTTCAGGTTTATGAATGAATGATGCTGTATCTGGGTAGGATCTGAGGTTTTGTGGCTGTTGTGCAGCCACACTTTCATGGAGAAGTGAAATCCTTACTATTGATGCTGTAATGTATTTTTCATTTTCTCTTTCTTCAAATAAGAGCACATTTTGTTTTGGTACAGGAAATTTCCTTTTGTTATTACTTTTATGATTATGTTTGGGACTGCACAAAGGCGTGGGGGATTTAGTATGTTTTTCTTAGCTTTCGCTTCAAGTTTGAKCATTCCAATTTTCAGGGCACTGCTAATCCTGAAAAAAATGAGATCTCTGGATGTTTTGCAAGARTGTGTTGAGACTCTTTCACATGTACTTCCTGCATGGTTACGTGTGTGCAAGAGTTGAAGAGTCTTACTGTGCATCATCACGTACAAAGGCAGTTTCAGCTTCATGCAGTTSTACATGGCAATTTCAGCTTCACATCGTTGTAGATGGGGACCATTAAAAAGTCCGTTGCTGCTCCCCTTCTGTTCTCCAAAAATATCAAAATGTCACTTTTAGCTGCCMCTATTTCTGGCAGTAGGTGATCAAATGTCGTGGTAAGATGGATTTCAGAGCTTTTCAGTGCATTAGTATGTTCTGGCTATGGATTCTCATTAGGCACCTGTCCCAGTTAAAACGTTCCTGACAGGACTTCAGGCTGCCCCTGTGAGCCTGCTGATCCCACTCTGCCCAGCTCAGGGAGAGCACAGACTGCAGAACCACGCAATGAGCGAGAGCTGTCCTGATAATGCACTGTGCTATCGTT